GTGGAGGCAGCGGCCTCTCTCCCTGGCTGGAGGTTGGGCGCCCCGGGGGGAAGGCCCGGGCTCCCCACTGCTGGCGCTGGGAGGGCTGCTTCCCCTTGGTCCTTATTATTGCCTCGTGACGCAGGGAACGGCCCCGTCCCCGTCAGCTGCTCCAGGCCTCGTACTCCACGGCGGAGCCCAGCAGCTGCAGCAGCTCGGCCTCGTAGCGCACCAGCTCCACTGTCTCTGCAGCGCCCGGCGCCAGCTCGGGGCTCTCGGGCACCTCGGCCTGAGCCAGCACCTGGCTGAGGGCGACCTGGCGCTGGAACTCGGCCTTGGGCAGCGTGGCAACCTCGAAGTGGGGGAAGCGGGCCTGGAAGATGCGGGAGGAGAGCTTCAGGCGCTTGAGAACGTCGGAGAAGAGGAACCAGTTGCAGGGCCTGCGAGGGAGGCAGGAGAGTCAGCAGGGCTCCACAGGCTCCTTTCCCGCCTAAACCTCTCTTGGGGGAGCACGTGGTGGCCTTCCCCTGCCACAGCACTAATGCTGTGACCTCATGCAACTTTCCCAGGGCAGAAGGAAAATGATGTAGTCACACTCAGCAGCAACACAAGGTGTTGCCAACCATTACAGGACAAAAATGGGGCCATGAACAACAGCAGAGGGAGAGGGGAGGGGAGGTTTCCTGCCAGGCAGGGCCTAGGGACCCCGTGCAGCAACCGAATGCACTGGGCAGGATCACAGGAGGAAACATCCCACAGACTGAGCTCTTCAGAAAAATTACAAGTGGTTCCCTGGAGAGCCACACATTTCCAAACACTGCCAGTGCTTTTACAAGGGGCTGTCTGTAACTCAGCATCTCTCATCCTAATTTGAAGGAAAACTCCCATCCGAGATGCCTCGAGGAGCTCAGATGACTGACACACCTGTAAACGGGATGCCAGGGCTGTGACCACAGCGATCAAAGGGGGTATGCACCAAGCAGCTGACAGAAACCAAATACCTTCCAGACAGTTTTGGTTTTACTTGCATTGCTTTGTGGGGTCTTTTTGAAAAACATCTATGTTAAACCAGAAGAGTCTTTCCTTGCTTGCTGCCCTTATCCATATGCATCTCAGTCTGTCTCCCCTTTCCATCTCCTCTGGGGGACATGATCAAACTTCTTTTAAGTGCTGAACTAAGGAGATCCAAGTCAGGAACCGCAGCATTAGTGCCCCCCACATTCTCTCTGTTCCAGGAAATGATACTCACCCCCGGGAGACTGACACTTGGAGGTTATAGCTGGGAAGTAGTGGCTTGTCTGAGAACTCAAACATGAAGTTGTCCGATTCTTGCTCATCCTCCTCCTGGTCTGAACTTCCCGGAGGATTGAGCAGGAGATCACATCCAAAGCCATCCTTCCCCTCTGAAACGAGCAAGATGGATGTTGGCAATATTCACAGTCTCACTACAGCCAGCATGCTGGTCCCTGGGGAGCGACCAGTTACTACTACACTTCCATATGCACCTGCCCACGACATCACAGCAAATCCAAGAGCTAAACCCCAGGGGCTCCTCGCACTTTCTTTCCAGCCCTTCAGTTTGGAGAGCACATGCTAAACTGTTCTGCATCTCTGCTAGGTTGAAAGAGCCCGTTATGTTATAGTAAGATTCAGGTTTGCACTGGTTCCACACGTGAGGTCCATGTACAACCGGTTTTCAGACCGTTTTTTTGGCTCAGTCACACACCGATAGCCCAGGCCCTTCCTGAAATGGACTGTCATTTCCCCACTCCTTTGCCACCATGACCATCCTCAGGTTCCACACGTGAGGTCCATGTACAACCTGTTTACAAGATCAGACCGTTTTCAGTCACACACCGATAGCTCAGGCCCTTCCTGAAATGGGCTGTTATTTCCCCACTCCTTTGCCACCACGACCATCCTCACCCTAGAGGCAACTGCACCAGTGTGGAA